TTGATCTGAATCCTGCCTGTTCGCATGCTAGCTGATTATTGTATTCCAAGTTCCATAATAGCCTACGATTAATAATTTTTTCCAATAGCTTACACATTGAGCATGTTAAGGAAATTGGTCGGTAAGATTCAGGTGCCTGTGGCGATTTGTTTGGCTTTTGGATGGGTATGATTATGGCTTGTCTCCATATATCTGGGAATACTTGTTCATTCCATATAATATTGTATATGTCCAAAAGGATATTTTTAGCTGAAGGTGTAAGATTTTTGAGGAAAATTGTTGGTATGTCATCTGGTCCTGGTGATGTATCTTTTAAATCAAGAAGGGCTTCTTCCATTTCTTGTTTAGTGATTGGAGTATTTATTGGACTAGAGGTGTCTTTATTTGTAGCAATTTCCGTTTCAGAGTGTCTTTTCTGGTTAAGGAATTGCGTGTTGAGATTCTCATCACTGGAGTTTCTAAAATAGGTCCTCGATAGAACGTTCGCAATATCATTGCTTTGAGTGTAAATTTGAGACCCTTCTTTCAGCAACTCAATATTTGTGTGTGATTTGGCTCCAGACATGCTCTTTATCTTTTTCCAGACTGTTGATACGTTAGTAGAAGTATTTATACTGGTCACGAATTTTCTCCATGATAACTTTTGTTCCGTTTTTATTATTAACCGTGCTTTAGCTCGCTTATGTTTGAATTCAGACAAGTTTTCAGTTGTTTTATGTCTTCGCATCTTGTTTAGTGCTTGTTTGCTTTCACGTATAGCCTTTTCACAATTTTCGTTCCACCAGGGAACTGGATTCTTATTATGTAAAATTTTTGTTTTACCCATGCATTGATTTGCAGCTTCCTTAATAACTTCCATGAATGATTCAAGAGTTGAGTTGATGTTGCTGGAAACTTTGACTTTCTCTATATTAGTATCAATGTGGTGAGAGAAAGAGTTCCAGTCAGCCTTTTTTAGATTCCATTTTTCAATTGGTGGAGTACTGGTGACTTCCTTATTTGTGTTTCTTATTATTATGGGAAAGTGGTCGCTTCCATATAAGTCATCAGCAACATTCCACTGTAATTGTGTTACTAAAATTGGTGAGCATATGCTAAGGTCGATTGCAGAAAAACGCCCTGATGCAGAATCTAATCTAGTGCTGCTGCCATCGTTTAAAACTATCATATTCGCATAATCCATTGCATTTTTTATCATATTACCTCGAGTGTCATTTTTATATGAATTCCATGTGTGGCTGTGTGCATTGAAGTCGCCAACTACTATTTTAGGTGATGGTATTTGTTGAAGTAATGATTCAACTTCATTACTTTCGAGGTGATAATTTGGGGGTATGTATATGGAACATATGTTGATTGGTTCCGTTGATTCAACGGTAATGGCTGTAGCTTCTAAGTTTGTAGTTAAAACTATTGGTTTGGTAGGTATTTCAGACCGTATGTATATTGCAACTCCTCCACTGGCTGTAGGTGTATCACGGTTCTTAAAAAATCCTTTGTAGCCTTTTGGTGTGTGTGTTTTTGTTTGATGGAAGTGTGTCTCTTGTAGGCAGATGATGTCTGGTGTGTGATCGGCAATTATTTTGCGCAGCATATTTAAATGGATATAATATCCATTTAAATTCCATTGTATTATAGATTTGAATTTTTATATTAAAAGGTAGAGTCTACGGACGAGGTGTCGCTGAGAAGATCACTAGAATTATTTTCGAGGTGTTTTTCCATCTTCTTTCTTAATCTTGTGCAACGATTTTTTAGTGCTTTGTCTGTGATATGTGGATAAATCAGCAGAAGCATTTCTATTATTCCTTTGAAGTCGGATGAGTGATCATTGACAATATTAAATATTTCTTTTGCACCATGCGAATTTTCCAGTAGACTTTTCAATTGGACGGAGTTTAATACAAGTGGTGGCGTTTGGTTGTCAATGAATAATTTAACTGATTCGAAAGCACTGTCTGCTATGTGCTGTGGTTGGTTGTCTGTTTTAGGTTTCTTTGTACTCATGTTTTTTGGTGTAGCGAAAGTAGGATATCCAGTATTTGGAGGTGTAGGTTCAAGTTCAGTTGTCGGCGATAATATTTCAGAAAGGCTACGTTTGTTACTTGTTTGTGTGTTTGAGCTTGTGTTGATTTTATTAGATTCTGTCTCGATCTGGTTTGGGCTGTCTTCGGAGGTCGAGGCTCTTGTTATAGGTGTAGAGAAGCTGGTGACATTAGGTTGTAGGTTTGGTGTAGCTGCTGTTGATTGCTGGCTGTGGTTAAAGTTTGTCTGCTGGGATACAGGTGTGTCTGATTGTGTGGATGGACACTGAGATGCGATATGTCCTGTGAGTTTACATTTAAAGCATTTTTGACTATCTAGTGATAGAAATATGCGATAAGTCAAGTCTTCGTGGGTGACTTCTAAGGACTCTGGGATGAGGTTGTGCTCATCAGGTGTTATATACGCCTGACGTCTAAAACTCAAGATATGGCTGTATTCCGGTAATGCTGCCCCGATCTTGAGAAAGGTGATGGGTGAGATGAGTTTAACTCCTATTTGCTCAAGTCGATCCTTTAGAACTTTATGTGGGATCGTAGGACATACGTTAGACATCACTAATCTGTCAGAGGGAGTAATAAGTCTGCGAGCTTTTATTGGTTCTCCATTAATGATGATCTCACCAGGATTCCCTAGGAAATGGTCTACAATTTGTTTACTTGATAGGTAAATACATATTCTGTTATTTGATATTCTAGAGCAGAATAAGATGTTTTTTGGGTTCACTATTGGGCCCAGTTTCAATAAGTAGTCTTGGATCTTTAATCCATCAATAGCATTGAAAATGATAGCTTGCTCTTTATTTGGATATTTTACTGAGTTTTTATTCAAAATTTGAGAGTATGATTGAACTGAAGTATTGTTTTCTGGTGTAGTTGGGTGGTCCATATCGGATCTATCAGTTGAACTCATCTGGTGGAATGAGTTGTTGTAACATATCTCGATACGGTCCTGTCCGCAGAAATGTGTTTATTTTGGAACGCTGTTTGCTCGCGGAAAAAGGAATTTCTGTTTGCTGAGATTTGTAGATTGCTGGATACAATTACAAAATATTACTCACAGCGTATGTTGATACTGGTATCTATAGGTGTATCGATGATGCACTTGTGTTAAAACAATTTGAATTTCACTACTTATGAATGATTTAAGTCAGAGCTCGGTTCACTGGCTGCTAACAGTAAAACGATCAGGAACGGACTCCGATTCGTCATGTTTAATATGTTGTAGTTATTCAGATAAGGAGTGATATGGTTCCGATATGGAATTACAAATGCAAATCTCATGCAACTATTTTGAACTTTTTGTATGCATTTTTTGGTTCGCGACGATAGCGAATCACCATAGACGACATCTCCATAGTCAAAAAGTGATAAAATTAAGGTATTACACAAATAATATTTTTGTTTGGCTGATAAATGTTTTTTTAATTTGTTTATATTTTTTAGTCGCATGTAAGCTAAATTTGTTCTGTTTTTTATATGACTGCCGAAGCCAAGCGAGCTATCAAATATAATGCCTAGATTTTTTGTCTCCTGAACTATGGGGATTCTGTCATTGTAAATAGAAATTACTAAATTTTGTTCAAAATGTTCTCTTTCAGTACTGTTTTTATTCATAACCATTACTTGCGATTTTGAGGGGTTTAGTTTAAGATTGTGATGCTTTGCAAATGTGTCAATTCTTTGGAGATCTGAATTTAGTTGTTGTTGTGCAATATGGATTGTGGTTTTATTGACAGGGAGATATATTTGTGAGTCATCTGCATATTGTTTTATCTTTGCGAATTTTACCGATTTGACCATGTCAGATATGTAGATTGAAAATAGCAAAGGAGATAAAATTGAACCTTGAGGAACTCCTCTTTTTATAGGTTTAAAATCGGTTTTGTAAATAGCAGAATCATTTGCTAACATATCACAGTTTGAACGGTTACTTAAGTATGTTTTTATTAGATTTACGGAGTTCTGCGAAAACCCCTGGTAATGTAACTTAGCTAGTAACATTTCATGATTCAGAGTGTCGAACGCTTTACTAATGTCGAGAAGAACCATGCACGTACTATTTTTTTGTTCTTGATGATGTCTGATATCATTCCAAGATATTAACTAATGATGTACTTGTGCTAAAGTTTTTTCTAAAACCGGATTGACTATCTGGTATGATATCGTTTGTGTCACAAAAAAATCTAATTTGATTATAAATATGCCTTTCTAAAATTTTGGATGTAGCGAGTAATATGCTAATAGGCCTCAAGTCTGTAAATTCTTTAGTTTCTGCTATTTTTGGTAAGGGTTTAACAATAGCTTTCTTCCATATTTCTGGAAATAATCCCCCCAAAATACATGTGTTGATTATATTCAGCAAGGCATTCGTACACAATGGGATACATAACTTTAGGTCTCTCATAGAGAAACCATCCTCTCCAATGGCATTTGATGAGATATTAGTTACAATTTTGATTAGACTGGCCCTGTCTAACAGTTGGAAGCTAAGAGAATCGTTAATGTTTACATTGTTTTTGTAAAAATTGATTAATCCTTGGGAAGCAGTGTCTGGTAAATTGTCGGTCTGCTGGAAGTAATTGTGTATGTCATTTACATTTTGTAAGTGTTCGGGTATAGTTGAGTGAGTTTTCTTGCATGTTATGTTGAGCTTTTTGGTAGTGTCCCAAAATATGCCTTTATAAACTAAATATGACGAGACTATTTACTTCTAAAACAATTTATTTTCTCAAAAACATTTTAGATACACTCTAGTAAAAAATATATATTTGAAATCACTTAGACCTATAGCCAATAGAACATCTGAGCAAATAAACAATGTGCGAATAAATGCGCGAAGTTAACAAAGCAACAATTGAAAGATTACCATTGGGTTACGGCTGAAATTCTCCGGGGCATAGTGTTAACCAAGTTTTGACAAAAATTTGGTGTAAAACAATCCCATATTTCTTGGAGCTTTTGTCTCAGTTCGGTCATTGTACGAGCAGGATGTTGTCGTAGAACCTTTTTCATCTCGTGCCACAAAGTTTCAATAGTTGACAGACCTGGACTGCTAGAAACCCATTTCAAAAGTGGTACATTATTTTCTTCCATCCATTTTATAGCCTTTTTTGAGGTATGACACGTTGCACCATCTTGCTGAAACACAAAATCTTGGGCGGATGTCAAACATTCTTCCATCACTGGTAAAAGCGATTATTCTAAAATTGCCAAATATTTGTTTGTATCCACATTTCCATCAATAAAATGAAGTTTTCCTGCTCCTTTTGATGGCATACTGCTCCAGACCATAATGGATGCTGGAAATTTCACTTTTCTCTTAAGACAGTCAACATGGAATGCTTCACTTTTTTTGCGAATAACTGTACTGTGACTGTCACCAACTTCGAATCGGGCCTCATCACTCCATTGTATTGCACACTATTGTTGAGGTGTCCATTGTCTATTTTCTTTAGCCCATCTAAGCCGATTTTTCTTTTGCACTGGAGTTAATTGTGGCTTTTCTTTGGCCCATAAACAAGTTGTGCAACTTTAGGGTTTTTACTTCACTTTTTTTTGTAAGAAAACTTACCGTGCAAGTGCTAAAACCCAGTTTGTGGGCCTCTCTATGAGTTTTGGACCTCGAAATTTTCTTTCCAACAGCGTCACTCCACAGAGCACTTAATTGTAAATAATTGGCACGCCTGTTTTTCACGATTATTCTTCTTAATGCTCTTCGGTCGGCATTTGTGATACTACTTTTTTTTCACATATCGTGGCTTAATATTAACTGAACCAGTTACATTATATCTTCTAACAATATTTCTCACACTGTACCGCGATAAGTCTAACAAAGTTGCAATGTCTGAGTTTGATTTCCCAGAATTACAAAATTTTATTATTAGTAACCGAATTTTCTCACTAATAATCTTTCCTCTACCCATTTTGAAAACCTTAACTACCCAAAACTATTTTAAACGTATTCTGACAGCTGTGATTAATAAAAAAAATTGTCATGGCTTTTATTTTTCACAGCCACCTATGCGTTATAGACTTATTTTGCATTGAAATGAAAATAGTATGCTGTAATTGCAACATGTGTTATTTTTATGCTGCAAATTTGATTAGGGAATGATAAATTTGGTGTTTTCTACTATATATTATCAAAATATTCATTGTTAATATTTTAAACCTATAACACCCTGCTACATTTTTATTATTTGTGTTTGATAAGAATAAAACTACGATTTCAATAGTTGGGCCAACTGAAGTGGGAAGGGGCTCGAACTTTTTTTTATTTTTCGAAAGCTATAATGGTGACACGAGGTTACTAAAATGTAACTCCTTGAATCAGTACCACTGTCCGAAGTGACGTTGGCAGATAACTCGAGTCATATTCCATATTAGATACCAATTCCCATGTAAAGAATTTTGAATAAAAAATGATTTTGTTAATATACATCGTACAGAACGTGTACACTTCAACATCAACGCCAACCAAAATAGGAAAAGCTGAATAAGAGATGTGCATACGTAATTGTAGGCAACTCAAATCTAGGTCCCTCGCGTGACGACTGCCTCAGCTTACGCTTACGTATGACTGATATGAAGCTTAAAACTGCATAGGCTACATAGCAATTTATTTTAAGCTTTATTTTGGATCCGGAATTGATTATCAACAGATGCGATATAATTTACATTTCAAAAAATGTGTACGCTCAAAATAAAACAATTATTTGGGCGTAGGGAATAAACTAACGCACATTTTCAGGATGCATCTTAATTCAAGGAACTGCTGTAATACAGTTGAGTCATTTATTTTAACAGTGAGTAGATCTGATTAAAAGAAATGTTTTTTTCCTTTACCATTTTTCTGGTAAAATTAAAGTAACAAAGTTATAGCCCTTTGGAAGTTTGAGTACTGCCCTGTCTCAATGATAATATTATGTGCTCGTGTTTGGCAACAACGGATATAATCCGCCATCGGTTCATCGCATCGGAAACAAAAAAGCGAAAGAATTTGGAACGATGTTTTTACAATTATTTTATTCAGTTGTGTTGTATACAGTCAGTGTCAGTCGGTAACGCGTTAGTGAATAATGGTGTCTGTTGCGTGGCTCAAACGAAATAAAAAATGGCACATGTTTATGCCGATCGGTTTCCCAATCGAGTGCAACCAACCCCTCGTGCCTTTGTTAATGTAGTACAACGGGCTCGTGAATCAGGTGACTTAAGACGGCATGCCGGTGCTCCAAGACCTCGCGATCAAATACAGGTCCGCACTGAAATACTTGTCGGGAGAATACTTTTTAAAACAAGGTAAACATTTTTTTTTAATTTTTTTTTTATTTTTACACACATATTTTGGTTTATCTTCCTTCTACAATCATTATCTGAAAATTAATGACTCAACTTCAAAGTATATTGGCAACCCAGCAGATTGCACTACCTTCTGTGCCAGCATTGCTAGGCATTGTGTTGATGTCCTCTGCTGGCCAGCTGGCTTCTATCTCTTTCTAACATATGTGTTTATACACAGTTCTCGCGCTTCTATCTCGTACGTACTGAACTCTAGCCGTCAGACAAATTTATTTCTCCCCGGTATCTCTGATCCGCTGTAGGCTAGCGGCGGGTAGAATTATTGTTTGTGGATCATTATTTCAGAGCATATATTGACTTACTCAGACGTGTACGGCTATTATATCTAATATGTGTGTATCAGAAAATTCTTAATAATGGAACATCTTTTACTGCTACCAAAGTCGCAATATCCCAACACCCAATTTTCAACTTTTCCAAAGGGAATTAAAAAATTCAGTCACTGCAATGGACGTCGTATATGCATTAAAAATGCAATGACACACTTTGTACGGATTCGGTGGTTGAAACATCACATACCACAGCAGTTACTACGAAACAGATTAAACAAAAAATGGCCCTTTTCGGAACCACAATATACTCTCGTGAAAAAGAAAATATCAACCAATTATCATTCATATTGTCCCCCACTTATTTTTCTTCAGATCCTATTGTTAACGGATGTGTTGCAAATAGTATTTTAACGCTTAATTACGATTGTATTGGGCAAAAAATGAATCAATTGGGAACGTGAGCCCAAATGCTCATTCGGTCCGGAAATGCCTCACTCTTGAAATACTGGCAAGAATTCTATGTTTTCCAAAAACCGCAAATAAAAAATATCTAAATAATGCTGCGCGTCTTTGATCCAGTTGGAAGTTTGTTCTAGGTAAGTCGGGTACGTAGTCCTGATAACTAGTTTTTTTACCACTTTTTCTACACTAATCCGGCTCGAATACACTTTTTTGAATCCGAAATTTCTGAAATAAAGCCTAAACATGGAGCTTGAGCGATTTTCATTAGCTTCTTTGCTCTTAGCTCCGCCGCTACTAGACCAATTTTTAAAAACTGCAGAACTTTTCTGTCCTTGCGATAGTAATGACCTTGTGTGAAAATTTCATCAAGATCGGATTGGCACTTCTCAAATAATACGAGCCCCTTCCTACTTCAGTTGGCCCAACTATTGAAATCTTAGTTTTTTTCTTATCAAACACAAATAATAAAAATGTAGCAGGGTGTTGTAGGTTCAAAATATTAACAATAAATATTTTGATAGACTTATCGCGGTACAGTGTGAGAAATATTGTTAGAAGATATAACGTAACTGGTTCAGTTAATATTATAAAGTAATATCATAAATGCCGACCGAAGAGCATTAAGAAGCATAATCGTGAAAAACAGGCGTGCCAATTATTTACAATTAAGTGCTCTGTGGAGTGACGCTGTTGGAAGGAGAATTTTGAGGTCCACAACTCATAGAGGGGCCCACAAACTGGGCTTTAGCACTTGCAAGGTAAGTTGTCTTACAAAAAAAAGTGAAGTAAAAACCCTAAAGTGGCACAACTGTTTTATAGGCCAAAGAAAAGCCACTATTAACTCCACTGCAAAAGAAAAATCGGCTTAGATGGGTTAAAGAACATAGACAATGGACACCTCAACAATGGTGTGCAATACAATGGAGTGATGAGGCCCGATTCTAAGTTTGTGTTGGTGACAGTCGCAGTAGAGTTATTGGCAAAACAAATGAAGCATTCCGTGTTGACTGTCTGAAGAGAAAAGTGAAATTTCCAGCATCCGTTATGGTCTGGGGCAGTATGTCATCAAAAGGAGTAGAAAAACTTCATTTTATTGATGGAAATGTGGATACAAACAAATATTTGGCAATTTTAGAAGAATCCCTTTTACTAGTGATGGAAGAATGTTTGACATCAGGCCAAGATTTTGTGTTTCAGCAAGATGGTGCAGCGTGCCATACCTCAAAAAAGGCTATAAAATGGATGGAAGAAAATAATGCACCACTTGTGAAATGGGTTTCTAGCAGTCCAGATCTGTCACCTATTGAAACTTTGTGGCACGAGGTGAAAAAGGTTCTACGACAAAGAATTTCAGCCGTAATAAAAAATAAAGGTGATGTTACCCAATGGTAATCTTTCAATTGTTGCTTTGTTAACTTCGCGCATTTATTCGCACATTGTTTATTTGTTCAGATGTTCTATTAGTTATAGGTCTAAGTGATTTCAAATATGTTTTTTTACGACTAGAGTGTATCTAAAATGTTTTTGAGAAAATAAATTGATTTAGAAGTAAATAGTTTCGTCATGTTTAGTTTATAAAGGCATATTTTGGTACAAATGTGGGTCAACTGAAGTGGGAAGGGGCTCGTAGATATGTGAAAGACAGACAAACCTCCAGATACCTAAATCAGTGTCATTTTTTTTGTGATGTACATGTCATATAAATTCCACAAAAACAAATATCATTTCTGAAATTTTTCGCAGTTACAAAACTTGCTCGCCAGTGGAGTAAGGACTGAAACACTACTGAATTCTAGAAAAAGTACCCTAACTACATGACCTTGAGAACTTAAAATGGAAGAATCAAATTTTTGTACAGATCCAGCTATTTATTAAATGCGGATGCTCATTTGGGTGGCTCCTGTTTTA